ACAGGAACGTGGATCTGAGTTGTGGCCTTTTAAAGTCAGAGTGTGGATGGCAAAACTGATCGAAGGCCCCAGCAGGGAAGATGCTGTTTGTAGGCCTGCCGAGCAATTTTATACTAGAATGATCAAAATTATGTCTCTATTTTAACCTTTTTGGGAGGACATGTCAAACCTTTGAAGATGACAGCCTGAAATAACCTAATTTAAGGAAAAAATTTCAAACAAAATTATTTGTCACTGAACATTCTTGGCATACTCTGTGAGTGTATACTTCATGGTTGTACGGTGAAGTCACTTGCATGAGAGTTAGATGATAAAGCCATCACATAGGTCCAAAATCAAATTAGTCAAAAATTCTAAGGTATCATGTTGGAGATGGTATACTGTTTCCCACCAATTCAAATACACCTAGTTTTTTCTCTAGAGTTAAAAATAAATCACTGGTTTTTTGACTTGGGTAGTAGCTGAGATTTTTTAAAAAGAAAGAAAATGCTAGACTCTGTTTTAGCAAAGTATCCACACTATAGGAAACACTGTAGACCTGAGACTTCCCCTAAAGAAATGGTAAATTCACATTTCTTCTTTTAGTTCTAGGTGCCTTGAGAGTCTGGGCAAGCCGGGACCCTCAATGTTTCATTGTTTTATTTGCTTGGTGTGTGTGTGTGTGTGTGTGTGTGTGCATATAATTGGGTTTGCTTCATTTGTATATAGAAGATCACTCCATTGTAGTACCACTGTTTTTCTTGGGGTTTTAAAATTTTATTTTAAAGGGTATGTTTTAGAACTATGCTAAATTTTTTTTAAGAGTTTCCTTTTTATTATTGTTTACAATAAAATAAAAACAAACAAATAGCTATGCTCTCAGCAAAACAATATGTTTTTAAAAAAATCACAGAAATTTACTAACAGCATTTCAAAGAAAGGCTTTTGAAATATTTTTTGTACTTTTAAAGTAGATAAAATACATAAGCCCTTACATGGTGCCTAGAATATTGCAGATAGTCAATAAATGCTTATCCCATTCCATCTCTCTCTTGGAGATCTTGTCTGTTCCTCCAGTCTCAGGTCTTAACCTCAATGTGAGCTGTTCACTGTGGAACCCTAGTCCCGTCCTCTCTGTTACAGTGAGGCTCTTATTTGCATTTAGGAAACAAGATTTTCTTCCCTTAAACTAACTGTGTCTAGACTGAGTTCGTCACCTTCCTCTCTGCTTCTCTCAACATAAAGACCCAAGTTCACATGTAAGCTCCAGCAATCTTCATTAGTGACCTTGAGTGCTCTACGTAATCATCTTATCCAGATGTTCTAAGGGCAAATGTTTTTTAACTTTAACTTCCAGTCCATTGTTTCATGCAACAAATAGTTTAACCTCATAATAACTTAATTACTGAGTATAATTTGAATATATAATTCTAATGAGTGCCTCCAACTTGTCAGCTGGGGAAACAAATGGTGAACAAGGTAGAGGACATCCCTGGTTTTAGAGCTCATGATCTGTTAGAGGATCAAGATAAGTAAATGAGTAGTTACGGCATAGTTTAATAAGCCTTTTGTAGTGGGAATTCAGGAAATAGGAGCTTGGGACGTAACTGGAATTTAAAGCATCAAGGAAGATTTCCTTTAAGGTGTATCTAAGCCAAATTCTAAACTACAAGCAAGAGTTAGCCAAGTGAAGAGAGGACAGGAAAGTGCATGGAAGAGCAAGCAGCATGTGACAAGGACCCAACACACGGAGGCCCTGCCACATTTCCAGGAACAGGAGAGAGTTCATGTAGTGGAGTGGACAGTGTGTACAAGGAAGAAAAGGCAAGAAGTAAGACTAGAGACATACATGCAGCTCACAGCTTGCCATCCACATAAACCTGCAGAGCATCGCATTTGGTTTTGTGTGCAGTGGAAGGAGTGTGGCTGTGCTGCTGAGAAGCTGCAGAACCCACTTTGGGGTGTGGAAATGCAGTGAGGTCCTGTGTGGGTTTTTTGCACTCTGTAGCTCAGGTGTGGGTGTGGAGAGGGGTGTGGGATCGATCTTAGATGGGAGGTTTCTTTGGCAAGTGTGATAAAAGGACCATGCCTGAGAGAGGTGAAGATATTAGCAAAATTGTGGGAGGCATGATGGCCTATGGACATGAAGATACAAAAGGCTGTTGGATTAAGGGCTGGAGAAGAGCTTAGGGTTAAGGGAAATGTGGGGGTTTTCTTGTTATTCTTGTCCTTTTAAGGTGGGAAAGTTTTATTAGTTTTAAGTGCCAATGGAAAGGTGCTGGAAGCAAGAGAGGTGAAGATTCAGGTGAGGGAGTCTTCAAGAGCAGGTGTGAGTGCTCGACTGGAGGACAGGATAAAAGACAGATGGGTCTAGATGCATCCATTTGTGGGCAGGACTGTGGAGACATTTCCATGTGTGGCCTCTGTTTTCTCTGAAGTAGTTGAGGTCTTCTATGAGCTTGAGGTGGTGATGATAACACTAGAGGTTTTATATATTTATCCAGCAGATATTTACTGAGGACCTACTTTGTGGGCATGGTAAACAACATAATCTGGTAACTAACAAATACAACACCTGCCCTTATGGCAACTCTGGTGAGAGAGACAGGCCAGTAAGCAGTGTTTGGGTCACTTGTTCAATTAGGATTTTTAAGTATTATGAATGGAATGTACAGGATACTCTGAGAACATAAAAATAGGAACCATGGGCTAAAGGATCAGGAGAGGCTTTCTTGAAGAAGCGCCATTTGAGATGAGCTCTGAAAATGCATTGGAATTACCTGGTGCTTCAGGAAAAGGGAGAGCTTTCAACGTACTGCCAGGCAGGAGAGTGAGGCAGGAGTCAGATCATACAGAGCCTTGAAGGCCATGTGGAGATTTTAATATTTTTTAGAAGACCCACTGGAAGCTACATATCCAGAAATGTCAAGAACAGCTTCTTAAAAGACACCTCTGGCTGCTGGGTAATAATGGATTAAAGTGGCAGGCCAGATGTGAGGCAGCTGTTAGGCTATTCCAAGGTAGGAGGCAAAAGTGGGATATTGTGAATTATGATGGCAGCAGTAGCAATGGAAGATCATAGATCTGTGACCTTTCTATGGAACAAAGATCTGACCTGCATCTCACAGGACTTCTAAATGTTGTGCCAGACATTTGTGGGCTGACTAGATGATGCAACCTGTGGTGGGGACACTGAAGCATTGTCCCATCCTATAGGGAAATATTTTTGCAGTACTCTTATAGGTAAGCCCAGGTCATTTGTGTCATCATCTTCACTTTGATAGTCTTGGCATGTTATTCTTATTTCTGTTAAGGTTGTTTCCCTCTTTCATTATCATATTCAGGAAAGTCTGGTCTGAGATTTCAGTCCAAATACCAGGCCTATTCCCATGTTTACCTGTACCTCTGAGCTCTCTTGCACAGAACAGCTCCTGATCTTTTAAATCCAAACATGTATAAGTAGGCACAAACATCTGACTTGGTTAGGTTTTCTACTCTGGTCCTGCCAAGCATTTATATATTGAAATGCATATTATTTTATTATAAATTACTTTTCTATCTTTCATATGTTGCAGTTAGGGCAATGTATTAATTTGGAGAGGGAAATTATATGTGCTAGCAAGATGCATTAGCAATGAATTCCATTTCAAGATAAAAATGGAATATTATGGAACATGCTATAAAAGGGGGAGTCGCTAGCCACTGTCTTAAAGAACATGGGAAAGCTGCCAGCTAATGAGAATTTGACAGCCGTGTGGGGAAAGGTAGAAGGTGGTGGTGAATGACCCCATGGGATGGGTGTTTTTATACAAAGCTGTGGGACCTACATAGCTTTAGAGCAAGGACAGCAGGGTCCCCCACCTCCTCCTCCTTTATCTTGGCTCACCCTTTAACCTTCACCCGGATGTTCACCCTACTCCTCTCTCTCCACTGGTGGTAGTCTTCACTGTCTGGCATAAAACCCTATTCTTTTCAGAGCCTTCTGTAACCACACAAGCTAAAAATGAACAACAAAGTACCTGGATTCTGTGCAAGGCTCTGTACATGAGTTTCTTGTTCATTCCACCCCAGGAAGGGAGCTTGAGCACTTTTAGGATTAGAATGAAATCTAATTCAGCTTATGACTTTAACTTGACCATTGTCACCAGATGAAGGTGTAATGGATGGGAACAGGTGGGACTTTAACTCAGGGTATCACCCATGTTACAGAACCATTGGTTAATGCACTCTGACAGCAGTGTTGTGAGGAGCTTTCAGAGAGCCATTTGGGGCATATGCTCTTCTCACTTTTGATTTCAGACTCACATTTGTGACCGCCCTTTATTTTTTGTTTTTCTGGGTCCTGTCTCTTAATTAACCAGTTAGCTTTCTTTAAGAGCAGAGTTCGTTTATCATCTTCTGTTGTGTACAGTATTTACTGAGTCCCTTGCTCATTATAGGTGTTCAGTGTGTATGACCTAAATGTGTGAGGTCGTTGCAAGATTTCAAATGTTTAAGCACTAACAGAAAATATATTGTGTAGGAGAGTTTACATTTACATCTCAACAAATGTATATGTGGCTGGTGGTTCTGTAAATTTAAAATACATAACTGAATTTGCAGCCAAATAAAGTCAGGGTGAAGGATTTTCTTTAAGGAAGGGTTTAAAACTTTGAAAATTGATATTATCACTATCTAGACTGTACAATCCAACTTTCTGAGGTGCACATATTTTTTAGGCTCTTGTGGGTACCATTACTTGGTAATACAAGGAATTGTTGAGAATGTTTCATTTAAAAAATATTTACTACATAAATACTAATAATCGTATTGAGAGAAAGGTTAGGATTTAGATTTTAAAAGTAAAGCAGCAATGAACGAAACCTTAGCTTTTTCTTATGTACAGCTTAGCCAGAAATCTCTTTACATGGGATACAAAGTTAGATCCATGTTCTCAGTTAGTCTTAGGGATTCATGTCAATTACAGAAATGTCTATATAGTGTTTTATTTGCTAATGAAGTTCTGTGATCCTGTTTTTCAGGTCCTGTGGGAGTAGGGCTAAATGAACTGAAGCGAAAGCTGCTGATCAGCGACACCCAGCACTATGGTGTGACAGTGCCCCGTGAGTTCTGCCCTATTCAGTGTTCTTACAACTACACTAATAATGTTGCTAAATGCTTACTGGACATACATGGTACCAACCACTGTTCTGAGCATTCACCCATCCAGACCTCCTAGCCACCCCAAAAGTATATAGTGTCATACACATGTTACAGAGAAGGAAACCAAAGTACAAGAAGTTGAGGGATTTTCCCTAGATTATACAGATTATTGGCAGAATACTTGTTAATCACAGCTTCCTTACTCTTAGATTTTTATGGTGAAGTTTAATACGCATATGACATCAAATTATTATTTACAAATTTTTTTGTAAATAAAAGTCTAACTATTCTATTTCCTAAAATAAGTACAATGTTTTCCAGAGTTTTTCATCAGGTTTAAGATTAGAAGGATCAAACTTTCAAACTACAAGAAACTGGAGACTTCTTTAATACAAACCTTTCTTAATTACTTTTTATATGTAGTAATTGGTAGATAGTGTTAAATGGGCTTTTCATGACCCTATCGTCCAAGTATGGTAGGCTTCTTTTCACCATGCAGAATTAGATCTATTTTTATAAAAGTGGTTTTCATAGGAATTTTTACAAATAAAATGTGATGCTTGAAACATTTTGATCTGCAGAATAAATGCCATTTGACTACTTAATATGTTGATGTTAGAGAGCTTTCTAAAAGGCTAAATTGAAATGTTGGCTTTTTCATGTGGTTTTAGAACAGTTAAAAAAAAATCATTTGTATATTGCCCTTAGCAATGTTCTTTAGTTTTGGAAGATTTTCAACTTTATTTTAAAATTATAGTTTTCTTTTACCTCAAGTTACTTCTTGTTACTACATTTTTCCAATCTATTGTTTGTAATTATTTTCAGCCATAAGTTATAGGACTGCTGGTTTCCACCGACAGAGATGAAAGTAAAGGAAAATATAGAGTTAGACAGATTTTTTCCTTCAATTATTAGCTTCTCTTACAAAAGCAGAATTGCAATATATAGATAATTAGAAAATTTTGCAAAACAATTATTAAGCTTATAGGTGACCAATTAGAGAAGAAACCTAGAAGATGCAAAAACAGATTACAAAGGAATAATTTATTAATTTTCTACTATATATTCATCTCCTTTGTTTGTCTTAATTTACGTAACCCTCCCAATAACCGTATAAGATGCATGATATTATCTCCACTTCACAGGGAAGGAAACAGGAGTAGAAAGGATATTTTGACTTGAGTTCCAAAGATCATAGTTGCATTTGAATTTTAAACTAAGTTTTATGATGTCACTTCTCATGTTCTTCCTTCTATTAATATTAACAATCCTTTCAAATTACAGACTTTTTAAATTTATAAATTTATTATTCTGTTTTTTTGGGTCCCCCCTCATATAGATAGATATGTATATACACTTTACACATACAGTCTCTCATACTTGCTAGTTAAGGCAGTTTGGTAACATGAAAAGAGTCCAAACTTGAAAGTAAAATTGACCTAGGATTACACCTCAACTCTGTCACTACTTGTGTCATCTCAGAAAAATTGATTAACCTTTCTTTGTCAACCTACTCATCCCTAAAAGGATTAATATGATCTACATCATATGGTTGCCTGGGAAAAATCAGACAGTATATACAAAGGATACCTGGGAGATGGATATATACAAAATAAATGCTTTTTTGAATTATTCTTTTTTTATTTTTTAAACTTTTTATTTCAGTAGCTTTAGGGGCAAACTGCAGACTCTTTATTTTAGCCCAGGTAGTAGTAAAAACTTGTTTCTTTTGACAACAATAAATATCCATAGGGCAATTTATCAAACATTACTATGATAGTTTTAATATTACTGACAGATCTTGGGCAAGACACTGGGGTCTCAGTTTATCCAGAGCTTAAAATATATTTGTTTCTGAAGTTGCTGTAGAAGTTGACAGTATCCAAAGAAGTTTCCAGGCAGGCACTCTCTTAAAGAAATTCTCAAAGTAGTTATTTTCTACTCTGATTCACTTTTAAATAGGTGTTAATATCAACAGATCCTCATATAGTAGTGTTTTTCAGGCTTTCCTGACACTAAGAATCTCTTGGGGTTTTACAAAAAGATATGCACAAGAATTTGTATTTATAGCAAGCATCCCAGGCAATTCATAATATCAGATATGTTTGGAAAATACAGCCACTGCACTAGTTCAGGGTGATTTAACTAATTAAACAAGAATATACTTGAAGAGCAACTTTCGAATTTCAGATAGTTTTGATTTGAAAAAATACTTTGGGTGTAGTCTTGAATATTGGAAAAAAATTATTGCCTTCATTATTACCAGTATTCTGTTTGATGATTAATTCTATAATTCTCTTTTCTAAAATATATGTTAAATATCCTCCAGAATGAGTGGAATGAAAAAGATGTGGAGCAATGGAACTCTTGCACATTGCTGATGAGAGTGTAAATTAATGCAACTGTTTTGGAAGCCTAAGAAGCAGTATCTCCTAAAGCTGAGCAAACACATGCCCTGTGACCCAGCAATTCCTCTCCTGGTATACACCCAGTGGAAATGCACACATATGTTCACCAAAAGGCACATTCTCAGACATTCTTAGAAACATTATTTATAAGAGCTCAAAACTGGAAACCACCCAAATGCCCATTATTTGAATAAGTAGAATGGAGAAGTCAAGGATGGTGTGTTCACACAATGGAATTCTGTAATGCAGTGAGAATGAACCATCTACAACTACATGCAGCAGTAAGAATTAATCCCACTAACAGGTTGAACAAATGGAGGCAGACAACAGAGAATAATGTAGTATGACTTCATTTTTATAATTACAATAAAGGCAACATGATATAACATGATATTAGAAATCTCAAGGAGACGAGGTAGAAAAGGGAACCCAAGAGGTGATTCTGGAATGCTAGAAATATTCTGTTTCTTGGTAGAGTGCTGGTTACCCAGACTTGTTCTAGCTGTGAAAATTCAAGTTGTATGCCTTTATGTGTGTATATATGAGTTATATATGAACTTTTCTGTCAGTGTATCATAATCAGATTTTTAAATATCGAAAAGAAATAGTGATTTAGTTCATTGTAGTTTGCTAACATCAATTTGCTGCTTTTGCTAATGTGCTAGAGTTATATAAATATTACCAGAGGAGGCTAAGTGGTGGTTACCTGCGACCTCTCTGTACTTTTTTTGTAACTACTTGTGAATCTGTAATCACCTCAATTAAAAATATGTATAAGTTTAAAGGGATGTTAAGTCAGGTAAATACTATTAATCTTGGACTAAAATGGCTGAACAAGTTATATGAAATCTTTAAAAAATTATCCATGTAACCACTGTTCATAGTTGCATTTAAAGAATGTAGTGGCTGAAACCCCTGTTTCTGCCTATTTGCTTCTCTGTTTGTGGAAAATTTCATCCTTAATAAACAGCATCAACATTGTTTTAAGACTATAGACTATCATCAACAAATGTAAATAACTTAATATAACCAGTTTTTCAAAAGCATCTCCTGTGCAGTAAATTTTAAAGGTAGTTAATAAAAGCTGTTATAGAAGATTTCAAATATTTGATGGATTCAGAAATCTGTATAATCTAGAATTCAGGCAGTCTTGTCATCCATACCTGTTAATCACTTTCTAGGATTTCTCACAAAGACATATATCAGTTTTTGTGTTTTCATGGGTTTCAAAGTACCGATGTTCTAGGACACTTCTTTAGCCACAGGAAAACTCACTTGAGTTAAAAAAATATATATTATAAACTAGGGTATCCGTTTTTTAAAAAATGTTCGTATGTATCTCACCATGTCAGTTATTCTGAGATTTTGAAGGGGGCAGGGGAAGAGAATAGAATGTGTTTTCTAGTTGTTTGATGTTGTCTTAACCTGTAAACATAATTGGTGCTTAGGCAGTGAGCTGTAGTGAGTTGGTGAACTACATTGTAGTTAATATGTGCATCTGTCCCTGTGAATCCCCTTCACGTGAGAATTTCTGATCTCTTATCAATGAGGGATTCCTCATTGTGAATGAGTTTATGAGATTCTTGTGACATCTCATTACAGTTAGATACTGAAATTCCTCATCACTAAAATAGCATCAGACCTCACTAATTCAGGTTGATCATGATAAGCAAAAAATTTGGTTGTGGATGTGTTGCCTTTTACATGCATTTGAGAGTGTCATAAATGTCTTGTTAAATTACCACTTGATGTGGTTCTAAAAATATTCTTAGCCCTGAGGCGGGACTCCACATGTCTGGGTAGTGACCCTCAAGTGTGAGTTGCAGATTTTCAGTCAAAGTGTTCTGCCATTATAATTATTATAGAATGCAGATAAAGTCTTCTGTGTTCATGAGAAACAAATTAATGCACAGAAAATTCTCCCTTTTGATTTCCAAAAGGGGAGAAGTACTTTTTTTTTAAAGCCTGCTGTTTCCTAAAGCAATAGCAACAGCAAACAGCAAAGACAAAACTGATCAAGTATTAAATGAGTATTAACACTAAACTCCAAAGTGGGCAGCATATTAATTTTAAGTTCTTTCATAATCTTTTATATGAATTATGTTATATATACACTGTAGGGTATTTTCTACCATAAAATGTATTTATTTATTCTTCTTTTTTATGATTGAATAAAATTTGTCAGTACTTCATGCTGTTCCTGTAAAGCGTGTGACATTTCAAAAAAGAATAGCACTACCTCTTGGTGTTCCACCCATGGTGCAAGTATGAAAAATTGTTTCAGTAGATCTGAGCATTGTATTAAAGTATGCTTGCTAAATAAATAAGGGGGAATTAAAATTTTGGATATGGTTTACATTAGTTGGGTTTTATAAATACATTACATATGTATCAAGTTACTTTTTTCCCTACTTCCCACATTCTTTATAACATTGAGCTATAATTGGAATAAATAAACTGCACATATTTAAAATGTATAATTAGATCAGTTTTAACATATGAATGCTCACATGAAACCATCACCACAGTCAATATAATGAACATTTCTGTCTCCTCAAAAATTCCTTTGTGCCCTTGGTAATTTATCCCTCTACCCCCTTACCAGGAAACCACTGATCTACATTACCTCACTACAGATTAGCTAGAATCATGTAGTACTTAATATAAACAGAAATATACAGTATGTACTTATTTTTTACTTTGCTTGACTTTTTCCCAAAAAACTCAGCACAGTGAGTTTGAATTTCTCCTATATTGTCTCAGATCAATAATTCATTCCTTTTCATTGATGGCATTTTATTGTATGGAAATACTGCAATTTGTCTATCTATTTACCTATTGATGGATATTTAGGGCCTTCTCCCTTTCCCCCATCCCCATTTGTAGCTACTACAAATAAAGCTATTATGAAGTTTATGTACAAGTTTTTTGATGGACATAGGATTTTGTTTCTCTTGGGCAAATAAGTAGAAATGGGATGGCTTGGTCAGATGGTTTAATGTTTTAAGAAACTATCAAACTGTTTTCCAAAGTGGTTTCCAAAGTGGTTTTACTATCTTACAACCCACTGGTAGAACATGTGAGATCCAGGCTCCACATCCTTGCTGACACTTGGGACAGTCAATCTTTGAAACTTTTGTCAAGGTACAAGTGATATCTTGTACTTCATTTTGCATTTAAATAATGACCAAGGATGGACTCAGCCATTAGCATGCCTTCTTTGGTGAAGTATCTGTTTAAATCTTTTGCTCATTTTTAAAAAGTGGGTTGTTTGTCTCATTACTGAGTTTTGAGAGTTCTTTAATATGTGTCCCTTGAATATGTGTCCTTTATCTGATAAATGTTTACATATATTTTCTTCCAGTCTGTGGCTTGCTTTTTCATTTTCTTGGTGTCTTTCTAAAGGCGAGTTTTAAATTTTGATGAAGTCTAATGTATCCAAATAAGATATCAATAAAATTTATATTTTAAGTTTAAACTTACATGTGAGAATAACTACACAATTTTTTAGGAAAAGGTAGACTTATATTTACTCAATTTTTCTTCACCCCTGAATACACAAGTTTTCTTCTTATCATTTCTCTTCAGCCTAAAAAACTTCCTTGAATTCCTTGAATATTTATTTTAGAAAATTATGCTGGTACATCCTATTAGTTTCTCTGGGAAGGTCTTTAGTTTGCCTTTATTCCCAAAGCATAGTTAGTTGATGGGTTTTTTTCTCTCAGTCCTTTAAAGATATAAATTTTATTGATGTCTTATTTTTATGACTTATGGTAAGAAATCTGTGGTAATTAAAACCAGACTCACTGATATGTACTGTCTTGTTTATTTCTAGCTGCTTTCCAGATTTTTTAAAATTTACTTTTGGCTTTTAATAGTTTGATATAATATTTAGGCATGGAATTTTTTTCAGAATTTTTTCTACTTAGGATCTGCTAAGCTTCTGAAATTTGTAAGTTTATATCTTTCACCAAATTTTAGAAGTTTGGGGCCATTAGTTTTTAAATATATCTTTTCTGCCCCAGTCTCTTTTATTTCTCACCTTTTAGCACCACAATTACACATATGTTAGACATTTCAATATTTTGATAGAAGTCCCTAGGGTTCCATTTATATTTTTCAGTCTTTTTTCTTTTTGTTATTCAGATTATATAATTTCTATTGATCTGTCTTCCCACTAATTGACTCTCTTCTCTGTCATTTCCATTCTGTTACTGAGCTCATCTAGTAATTTTTTTCTATTAGAGATTATTATTTTTCAGTTCTAAAATTTCCTTGTGATTGTTCTTTAGAGTTTTTATTTCTCTACTAAGAACTCATATTTTCATGCAATTCAGATGTATATTCCTGTGCCTTATCAAGCATAGTTACAACAGCTGTTACAAGGTCTTTGAGAGTTCTAACTCTCAGGTCATTCAAAGTTAGCATCTGTTATCTTTCACCTTGAGAATTGGTCATATTTTCTTAGTTCTTTATGTTTAATAATTTCAGATTGCATTCTCGATATTAAGATTATAATATATTAACTCTAGGTCCTGTTATAATATTCTGGAGAATGTTGACATGTTTACTTTAGCAAATAATCAGCCAGCTATATTTAGATCATAAATCCTATCTCATTGACCTTTGTTATGTCAGTTTGGGTCTGTACTGGTTCAAAGATTTGTCTTAGACTTACAGGCATGATACAAATCTCAGCTCAGTTCTCTAAGCTTTTTCTCTGTTAATTTTAGTGTGTTTTGTGCTTCCATTATCCAAGGGTTAGGCTGAGACTTAGGTATTCTAATATCAGTTTGCTTCTTAAAGCTTTTGCTATGCTGGTTTGAGTCTGAGCTGCATATATATATAGCATAGAGGCTATTCTTAGATTAATGTTGGTTCATACACAGAATTAAAGTATTTCCTTTGCCGAATTTCCCCCTTCTATCTGTTCCCTGTTCAACCCACAGGGGCTTTCCCCCCCCCCTAGTTCTTTTCACCAAAATGTTAATGCTTCTGTTGGAGTTTAGCCATATATTCACCTATGCTGTTTTTGTGAATGATTTCCACCCTTGGGGCTAAGCTAAGGGGAAAATAAAATTAAACTCCTTCCTGTGCAAGTTGATGCCCCTCCACAGTCTACTTGCTTTATTTTCCAGTGCTCAGATAATTGTTTGGGTTCAGAATTTGTAGTTGAAATCTACAGGAAGGACAGACTGTTGTGGATTAGCAATGGAGTACTTTGGGCTTTGAAGTTGTAGCTGTGGTTTTAATTAATCCTGTGTTTTCTGCTCCATTATAATTCACTAACAAATAATTAGGCAGGATTACTGAAAGGTTAGAAGAGGTTCAATAGTATTCTATGATGATGTTTATAACTTTGCCAAGGAGGTATTTGACTTCATTTGGTATTCATAGAGGTATTTGACTTCATTTGGTTAGCAAAACGACACATTGATGGCATACCCACCATGTGCCACGTGAGGGTGACAGTAAAATAATCTCCAAGTTTACCTAGCAACCTTGTGGCATACAACAGACTTGCCTCAGTGAATAAAGATCACTAAATAAAGATAATAAACATATTATTTGCAAAAAAAGTAACTTAAATACCACTTATTTAACTTATTAGAGAGTCTTCAAAATAATGAATAATTACACAGAAACACAATGCAATTACATTTTTAATCCATCCTGAAATTAATATAACTTTTTTTAAAGGATATGGGGTACAATTCAGTAATATATCTTTAACAATGGGAAAACCTGAATTACTATATTTTATTATCTAATTAGCTTGTTTATAAATTTGAAAGTCTTGTTTAAGAAAACTAATTAAATGTACTTGATGATTTCTTTTTTAGTATTTTCCTTAAAGTGGTTGATATGGACTTTTCTAAATTCTTTTTCATTAAATCACAGATACTACCAGAGCAAGAAGAAGTCAGGAGAGTGATGGTGTTGAATATATTTTTATTTCCAAGCATTTGTTTGAGACAGATGTACAAAATAACAAGTATGTGGATATTCTTGAGAATTTTCGTGTGACTGTTATTTGTAAGCACATATTTGTTTATCCAGTTACAGATGATTAAGGGCTCTCCTCGATTTGAAATGTATTTTAATTATCATAACAATATTTGAAACTGATAAAAAGGTGATAGATAATTTAGTTAATAATCATTATCAATTTTCACCTCTAACTTTAGTGTACTGGAGCTGCTCCATTTCAGTAAAGTTAAATGTGTAGGAATTATTTTGCAGAATCAGGGAAGGTCGCTAGGGTCTTATTGTGGCCTCCTTCCAGACCACAAACTGAATTTTATTGTATAATTTGGATAGAATCTTGCTTCAAGGACTAATGAGCATCTATGTAATGTATCCCCAGTTTCTCAGTCTTCTTCACACACGTTCCTCATTCTCTCATTGACTCTTCAAAAAATTAAAGTCATGTTAATCATCTTGCTTGTACCATCTCCTCAAGCTAGTCCCCCCACCAAGTTTTACATTTGCAGAAGCACGAGTGTTTCCAGGTTAGAGCAGTGTGTGTTTTAATGCAGGACTGCGGGATGTTATTAAAACATTGAAGTGCCTTTTTTGCGTTTGGCACAGTGATTGTGTTTTTATAGCACAGGATCAGCTGCCCTGCTCCATTAGCCACCACCCAGCACCTCCAGTTCTGAAGCCGAGCTGGGTACTCTGTAGCGTGCAGTGAAATTTCAGTAGTTTCTATTGTTTGGCTTACTTACTGTTTTATTGCATTGCATTAGTTCTGAAAAAGGGGATAATGGAAAACATTAGAGCACTACTCTACTAAGTACTTTTTTTCTATGCAAGTGTAATACAAGCAAGTGTTACTGATTTGAAAATGTAAAATAGAAGATTTTTTAAAATTGACATTCTGAAGTACTTAGCTCTATTCATTTTATTAAACACAGTTGAAAAAAATTACACGTTCAACAAAACATGTCTTTTACCTATGAATTATATCTTGGTACTATAGTTTCTTTTAAACTCACAATTGATTCTGATGCATCTCTAATTTTCCACAGGTTTATTGAATATGGTGAATATAAAAACAACTACTATGGCACAAGTATAGACTCAGTTCGATCTGTTCTCGCTAAAAACAAAGTTTGTCTGTTGGATGTTCAGCCTCATGTGAGTAAACACTGAACTGTTCAGTACCCTTCTAACCACATCATCTATAGCAGTTCATGTGAGCACTTCCATATGAAATGAAGTAAATCTGAAGTCCACTCACTTTTGGCATATATGTGACTTTTCTAAGATGACAAAAGCACTTAAATGTAATTTGAGTCATCTTTGGAGAAAACAAAGCTCATATTATTAGAAAAGAGGAGTGGAAGAAGCCCCAATATCTATGTTTGTCACTCTAGTTTATGAGGCCTGATGATTAAGTTCGCAAACTTATCCTAGAAAAGGTACAACATAACATCATTGCTGAATATCACTATAGTCACCTTCAAAGTACTCACCTTGGAAAGCTATGCACCAACACCCATGCCTAGTCTGCCTGTCAAAGCAATTTTGGAACTCTTTCCAAAAAGAGAAATGGTCATCAGAGCTAGAATGACCATCAGAGCTGTCATCATGAGAATGTCAGAGTTTGAATTAGAGCAATGAACAAGCATTAAATGTTTTGTTAAACTTGGCAAGAGTGGAAGTGAAATCAGGGACATGTTATTCCAAGTTTATGGGGATAATGCCATGAAGAAAATGGCAGTATACAAAGGGATTAAACATTTTTCTGAGGGGAGAGAAAGCATCACTGATGAAGAGAGGTCAGGACAGCCAGTAATGAACAGAACTGATAAGAACATTGCAAAAATTGAAACATTGCAAAAACATTACAAATTGTGTATCAAAATCATTGGCTGACTGTGAGAAGCATAGCAGACCAAATAAGCATCAATAGAGAAACAATTAGGGAAATCTTCACTGAAAATCTTGGCATGAGAAAGGTGTGTGCAAAAATGGTCCTGAAAGAGCTCTTGCATCACGACAATGTACGAGCTCATGCGGCACTATCTGTGAGGGAGTTTTTAGCCAGTAAACACATAACTGTATTAGAACAACCTCCCTACTCACCTGATCTGGCCGCCAATGACTTTTTTCTTTACCTGAAGATAAATGAAATATTGAAAGGAAGACATTTTGATGACATTCAGGACATCAAAGGAAATATAGCAACAGCTCTGATAGTCATTCCAGAAAAAGAGTTCCAAAATTGCTTTGATGGCATTGGTGCATAGTTTTCTAAGGGGAGTACTTTGGAGGTGACCATAGTGATATTCAGCAATGAGATATGTAGAACTTTTTCTAGGATGAGTTCACAAACGTAATTGTCAGACCTTGTATACTCAGGTTTTGTCAAGTGCAGTGACTCTTAGATTTTCTGTGTATTTTGTATTTGTAAAAAATACATCACATTGTTCCATACATAATGTATTCTTATTTGTTATGTGCTCGTAAGTGTTTATAATTTTTAGCAATGAACATTTTAGCTATGAGTCCTCTTTCTGTGATTTTGGTTCCACATATATCCTAGCAGTGTAAACTCCCCTCTAGAGTTGTAGGCATTTCAGGAATTGTGCTGAATGAGAGGCTGATTGCAGCTGCCAGATGGATCTTTGCCTGTTACCCTGGGGACTCCTATGAACATTCTGGACCAAGAATACCAGTGGATGAAGTCATCCAATTCCCTGTCAAACTGCATGTCCTCCAGTGGATCCTCAACCCACAGAATTTCCTCATCTTCAGGGTCCACAGATTCTCCTTCCACTGATGGTTACATCCTAGGGTGCTCCACTTCCCAGGGCCAGAATGACCTGTGGAAGTCCCTTGCTCCTCTTAAGGAAGATGAATCTGGAATAAAAGAGCCCTAAGAATCAGCAGTTAGGCTGACTCCAACAGGGATTGGGACAGTCTTTCTTTTGCAGAACTCTGTCAATGTCCTGAGTCTAGTCTCTCCAGACTCTCACAATGTAATTTCAGCCCTCCATTCCTAGTGCCCCTCCAGCCTGTGTCCCCTTCGCCCCTGATTGTCCATGCTCTCTCTTGCACACACACGGCCTGTCTTCCTAACCTTTCAGTGGAGTTTATGGTTTATATTCATTTCCAGAGAGGTCCGGACATGCAGATCAGTATCACCCTCAACTCTCACCCTTCTGTCAGTCACCCTGGATTATAGGCAAGTCCCAGAAGCAGAGTGTCCATAATGTACAGTGTCTGATGAGGAAATGTGGGCTCCTGCTCTACTGGGAGTGGGGGTAGCCCTTGTAGGGCATCTGGGGCGTTGGATGAAAAAGGAAGACTCATGACTGAGAACAGGAAGAAGCTTGAATGGAATGGTTGGAACACTTTCACAAACAGAAGTTTATTTAATTCATCACATCTTTTGGGTATTTGATCTAAAAACCACTTCTCTGGCATTTTTAGGCTCTTCTGTTTAATATTCATTATGGCATCTTTCAAAACAGTTTTAAATTCCAAGTTACATTTTCCATCTTCTTTTTAGAGGTGTTTGCTACATTTAATTGTCAACCATTGATTGGATAATAATACATCTAAAGATCCACTGACCTTAATTTTAAGAAATTAAGACTAATTTTAAGAAATTTTCTAGAAGGAAAATTCAGTAACTCATGATGATGTGAAGAAATATGAGAAAAACTTCTTTTCTTCCTTGTAGACAGTGAAGCATTTAAGGACACTAGAATTTAAGCCTTATGTGATATTTATAAAGCCTCCATCAATGGAGCGTTTGAGAGAGACAAGAAAAAATGCAAAGATTATTTCAAGCAGAGATGACCAGGGTGACGCAAAGCCCTTCACAGTAAGTACATTGATGCTTGGTGATAAGATAGGCGATGGGTGAAAATGTGTGGGCAGTCACCGCTGTATGGGACGATGGTCACGGGTGAAACTGTGACCCACATTTACGCATACAGTTCAGACTTTTGGAGGCTGAACATTTATATAAAAATTAGACCAATTAGTTTTCAGAGTAAAACTAAATTTAACAAAGTCATCACTGTTACTCATTAATTGTCTAAATGAAAAATTTAATAATTCACCTTTTTTGTCTTCTTGTATTGCTAGTCATATTTAGCTGAGTAAAAGAAAAAGCACCATTTTGGGTACAGATCAAATAGACATATTATTAAGCAATAATATTTGAATTTCCAAGAGTGTTGTTAGAAATGGAGATTATGGTATGTTAATAACTATAATGGCTTCTAACAAGGCCTTTTATTGTTTTTGTTCTTAAGATAGTATAGTCTATCTTTAGACCAAAAATAAAAAGCACAGAAATTAAATGTCAACAGCTTTTTCATGAACTCATCTTTAGCCTTACTTTGTATTAATTTGAAACCTGTTTATTGGGGCCAAAAATACAGATCATGTTTTTGATTCCCACTATTTGATAAGTATCCTTTTTCTAAAACGTTGACAGTACAGATCCATACTGAGTGGGTACTGTAGGTATTGTCATGTGATGTTCGCTACTCAAGGCTCTTGAGCAATGCTGAAGTTAAACGTTCTGTTGTGGTGAAACCTATGACATTGCAGTGTAGACTCTGAAATTCTTTCAGCATGCCACAAAGTGAAGAGTGATTGTACTACTTATAAATGTAAAGGTTTTTCAGTGAAGATAATAAATGATAACATAGTCTTAGGATTTGGCTCACTTACATTTGTATTATATAGCCAACTGAGATGTTTCCTAGCTTTAAAAATGCATGGCATAAAGGGCCCCTGAAACACTTCTAAGGAGACAGGAAGAACATGGTAACTATCCTGTTATAAATATATCCAAGTCTGAAAAAGGAGTTTATATTAGAAATGTCTTCCTATGAATAAACAGAAAGAAAACAGCCAAAGCATCAGAGCAAACAGTTCTTCTTCACCCCAATTACTATTTTAATATTGACACATCCCTATAATGATGAGTGAGTGACTAATTATCCTGAAATCCAGATGAGGTAGAAGTTTTGACTCTCATCAGACCAGTTTTGTTACAAGCAAATAAGGGAAATAGTACTAAAAATTATGGCATCTGGAGAATTTGTGGTTAAAGAGGATAATTTTTATTTCTGGCTGAGGTGAAAGACTGAATACAGAATAGCATTAGGTAAACCAATTGTAGAATGTTTACATTGATGTGAAGTGAGGTAATTGCCTGGTTAACTAATTTTTAAAAAATACTTCCTTTTGTAGGAAGAAGACTTTCAAGAAATGATTAAATCTGCACAGATAATGGAAAATCAATATGGTCATCTTTTTGACAAAATTATAATAAATGATGATCTCACCATGGCATTCAATGAGCTAAAAGCCACTTTTGACAAATTAGAGACAGACACCCATTGGGTACCAGTCAGCTGGTTACATTCATAACTGAGGGACATTTCCATAACCAACTTTATATTATATAGAGTGCATGATTAAATCAGTTACCATTTTGGTGGTAGGGTTTTTAAATCTGTATCATTGTCATAGATGTACAATCTTGGTTAAAATTGAATTCTGGTTTTGTTTGTATCTTTTTACAGCCTTATTTTAAACACAATGTGTAAGATCTGAAATCAAAATTTGCACAGCACTGTATTCTGAGCAAAACTTTGAACCTTCTGGTTGTCTTTAATATAGCTCTATCTCCAAGACGAGGCTGAAATTTTTAGAGACATGGCTAGAGACTTAATGTGTATGGGAGTTTGGTGCTTCAGCTGGTCTCAGACACAGTTGCTGCCACCAAGATTGTATGTTAGCAGTTGAAGGTATCCACTTAGCACCGGAAGCAGCTTCAGACAGACAGGACAGCTTTGCTATTTCCGGGTGGATCATCACAGATTTAGTGGGGCTGGAAGTAAGGAGGAGTCCTCTTACTATTTAAAAAGTGTAACTTTTTCTTCATATACACAGTATGTTCATAGTATGTGCATTTTTAAATGGTTCTTAAAGGAGTAACTGGAAATTGACCTTGAGTGAGTGGCCTTCAGAGTAGAGCTTGAGAAATCCTGCTGAGTGAGTACATGTCAGTGGCCCAACAAATATTTAATAAGGGAAAATAGACTTTTAAAAATTACTATATATGGAGTTAAAAACCTTTATGGTATGAATCTTAGAAAGAATGGTACTGTCTTGGGGCAAGCAATTATTACACAGGATACTTTTATTTGTTAATCTTTAGAGGACATTTCTGGAGTCAACAAAAAGATTTCTTTAGCTGACTATAGATTTTCCCAACAAATTATAAGAATGTGATTCCTGCTCTAAAGCATGTTTTATGTATTATTGATACAGTTGAAGAAAATGTGATCATTTCTCAAATACGTGCAATTGATCTCCATATCTTTAAATTTCACTAAGATGTGTTTTAGAAAACTTTCATATGGTAATTTATTTTTCAGAATGGTTCTTAACACTGTCCAGATAATATCCTAACACTGTCATTGTTAAAGAAAGATTCTTATAAGTATTTAGATGGGGTCTCTCATTCTTCTTTGATACTACTGATTTTCAGCAAGTGAATGATATAGTTCAAGATACTAGAAATGCTCATAAGTTCTATAAGAGAACATATGTTCTGCCAATCATGGTGGTTCACACCTGTAATCCCAGCATTTTGGGAGGCTGAGGCAGGAGGGTTTGAACACAAGAGTTCACAACCAGCCTGGACAACATAGTGAGACCTCGTCTCTACAAAAAGTCAAAAAATTAGCTGGGTATGGTGGCGTGCTCCTCTAGTCCCAGCTACTCTGGAGGCTGAGGAGGAAGGATTGCTTGAACCCAGGAGTTCAAGGCTGCAGTGAGCTGTGATCTAGGCTGGGTGACAGAGTGAGACCCCAAGTCAACAGTCATTTTTGCATGTAGTGAGACTCTGCCAGTCAACAGTCATTGCATATATAGCTGTCAAACAGAAAAAAGTGTTATTTTTTTTGTTGATTTGTAAAGAGAATTTAGATGTCAGGTTTAGAGAAAAATAGGATATAGTGAATTTTTCTATATTTATGAAATATTTTGAAAGACATATTTTTTTAAATATCAAATGGGGCTATTCATAAAATAAATTATATTTAAAGATGTCATAATTTAAATCTGTTTTATAAATCAAGGTCAACATTCCATGTAAATACTTGGCCTTTACACAGATAGGTCCACAAAGTATGTTCTGCGTGCACTGTGTAGTGGATGACACTCTTCACTGGATATGATTTGATGTGTCAAATTAAATGTTAGGAACAGAGACAAAAATTACTCCAATGACCTTGATGCACATTCACACCAAAATAGTTAGATAATTAGGCTCAGTATTATGTAGCAATATGGCCCCAACAGTGAGTTCTAAGTTTACTAATTAAATAAAATAGCAAGCAGTTAGTTTTAAAAAGTGAGGAGCGAAAGTTACCAAATCTGATTCTAATGCCATACTTTAAAGTTGTGTGACTGGCCTAAGAAGTACAAGTCTTAGTAGATGGTTTGGGTAGAATATTCCTTTTATATGGACTAAAATTTCCTATAAATGAAGACTTCTTGTACAAAGAATGATGGGAAATGTATAATAATTTAGGCAATCATCTGAATAATTTAGGCAGTCCAGATCTTTTCCCTGAAATGCTCACATTGATTTTTTTTCATTTGCAGCTGATTGCTTCACTTCTTTACTTTGGGGATAGAAATATAAGTGTAAGGTGGTGGAAACTGAGTCCCTTTCTGGTGGTAGGGATAATGGGGATGGTATAAAAATGCAACTATCTAGAACGTTCTCATTTTTAGACCAGAGCTGGAACAGCATTTTTTAAATATTGGAAAGAAAGGGACACTCTGGCAATTTGAGAAATCAGTTTGTATACATAGTCTTCAAAGTGGTGTTTATGTGGCCATCTTGATGGTTAGAAAGAGCCTTAGTTAAAATGTAGAAAGGTAGGACCTACTGACAAGGGTTACATGGCCCTTGCTGCTGTATTTTCTCCACCTGCCCCATCCCATGAGGACAACCTGTACACTCACCATCAGCAGCCTGCTCCCAAGATGTAGTGTCAGCCACTGTCTGAGAGAAGAGGAATGTTTACTTTTGAAGTCCCTATGTTTAAAATCTAAGACCAAGAAGGAAATTCTATACTTCCATGATTGACATATTAGAGTTGGTTAAAAATCAAAAGGTGAAATTGACATAATTTTTTACCATGATTTTGCTGACCAAATTGGAAGTTCTTAGTATTTTCAAGGCTGACATTCCTGGTATTGTATAATGATTGAATGTATCAAAATTATAATAATTTAAAATTGACAAACATGTAAATTTCTTAGACTTACAAAACTAGGTTGTTAAAATCTTCCTGAAGATTCAGATTTTTATTATTTATTTTATTTTCGACTAGGAAGGATTTATAAATAAGTGTAATGGAAAACCTTTGATCTTAATAAAGTATCTTCAAACAATGTGTATACTTAATTGAATTTTTCTTTTTTGAGTTGGACTCTCACTCTGTTACCTAGGCTGGAGTGTGTGGCACAGTCATGGCTCACTGCAGCCTCAGACTCCTGGGGACAAGCAGTCCTCCTGCCTCAGCCTCCAAAGTAACTGGGACTTCAGGTATGTGCCACTATGCCTGGCTAATTTTTTTTTTTGTAGAGATGAGATCTTGCTATGTTGCCCAGGCTGGTCTCAAACTCTTGGGCTCAAGCAATCCTCAGCCTCGGCCTCCCAAAGTAGTGGGATTACAGGATTGAGCTACCATACCTGGTCGAAAATTGTTTTTACACTTGGATATTCTATTCTGTTTTACTGTTGTTCTGTTTTATTCTATTATATTGTTTCCCATGGTAGAACGAATTATATTTTCTACCATGATATGAAGTGATATATTTGAACTTGCCATTTCTAAAATTAAATTTTATATTTTTTCAGTCACACACTGTTTTCAGCAAGGTTGTTGGAGAGATGAAATTGGCTAGTCTTGTTCTTGCCCATACAGTACAGCAATTTAGAGATGAGGACAAATACAATGGGATGGCAGATCCAGGACCATCCATGACGGAAGTGCCCCTCCCCTCTCCCACCTACTGTGCCTCCTCCCCATCAGGAATTGGTGTTACATACACCCTTTTACTGAGTTCCTGTTAGGCAAACCTCACCCTTTTCAGCTATGCACATGAGGGCAAACTGTCATCACGGACTAGTTAGCATTGACCGTGTTACAGTAGCTAAGCCAGTTAGCTCCATTAATGAAAGAATTCATGTAAAGTACTTAGAACAAAACCTAGGATAGACATATTCAATAATTCTGATCTCCTGTTTTCTAATGATCATTATCATCTCATCACAAAACTAAAAATAGCTGAATAAATTTTCTTAATCACACCACATAAACAGTTTGCCTATTTTAAATCTACCAGAAGTTTACCAATAAATTATTAGAAACTTTATTATTTTTAAAAATGCCATTATTTCCCATCAAATGATACACCAGGAACCAATTGGGTGATCCCCAGTGGGAAAGTGAACCAATTTTTGTTTTTTACCACTGGGTAATTGGTAGCAATTTGAAATAGATGTCCTTAATTGTATTAATGCCTTTTTTTCTGATACCACCCTCTTTTATTTTTCCAAATATTTGCTCAGTTACACTTAAGCTTTTGCTTCTGGAGGACAGAAAATAGTTTACTTTCATCAAACAGCTCATACATATACACAGGCCTGCTCACCGCCTGACCAAACTGTACTTAGTAATCTTGGAATATCTATATGATTTCCAGACACCATCTCATGTACTCCTTACAACTCTCTTATATGGGAGATACTGTCTTCATATTTTATGGTTGAGAAAACTGAGGGGCAGGGCTTAACTTCCTTGTCTAAGGTGACAGAGGTGATGAGTCACAGAATCAGGGTTTGAATGTCATCTGGCTTCCTCCAGTTCCATGCTATTGTCACTGCTTCTTGGTGTTGCTGTAACTTGAGCTAAAGCTGGAAACAGGTAAGACTGAGGTAATCAGAGGAGTGATTGTTCATACTTATGGATATGCAGTTTGCAAAGAGTTTTCTCAGAACACCATTGTTTTAGTCAGATATAACTTGTGTCTATGCATGAGTGGGTTCATCTTCAGACAGTGGCTATTATCAGATATATATTGTGCATGGCGTAATATACAATCTTCTGTTTAGTCTGCCTGAGTCCTAGTTCTTAGAGATGAATCATGATTGGTCTAAGTCAGTCATGACAATCTCCTCTTTACAGTGGCTGATCTGGGCTAGTTATACTCCCAGTTCTAGGTAACATCTGTTAGAGGAACTATGTGAAAGACACAGTTCTCTGATTTAAACAACTGTGTGAAATGAAAATCCTTTATGCCCCTGCCCCCCTCTTCCTGCTTAACATGTTTCAGTTATGCTGTGATGCTTGTCAATGTGACACCCATAATCCTAACTCTAACTGAGGATGCCTGAGTAGAAGGAGAAAAGGACTGTAAATCTTACATCTATAAACTGATATTAAGCTGCTGAACCAACCCTGCAACGTCCTTCCACTGTTAAATGAAAAAGAATCACTCTGATGGCTTAAGTCATTTTTACTTGCTGCTGAAAGCAATCCTAATTGAAAGCAGTATCCACAAACAATTTGGACCACTCTCAATATCTGCTTTCACTTACAAAAAAGTGTCTTTTTGCTCAACTGTCACATGCCCTGCATTGATACAATTATTGGACTTTAAAACACTCTGGAAACTATAGAGTAGGCCAAAGCAGGACATTCCATTTAAATTTTATTTTTCTTGGGTTCTACTTTTTTTCCTATACTCCATGGATAGAAATTTAACCTTAAAATCCAATTTGCAGAAAGTTGATCTTGATTTTTGGATTTACAAATTTATCACAGTTGTGTTCTAACTTGACCAGTCACTCAAAATACCTTATAAAAGACTGACCAAAAAATAGCAAAGTCTACCATTTTGAATAAAGTAATGCCTACTTGACTTAGGCAATAATAACACTAACAGGTTTCATTTGTTGACCTCTTGCTCTGTTCCAGGGACTTTGCTAATTAATAATATGTAAACTATTTGTGACCATTGGTTCCACTTAGACATAGAAAATTACCGTGGCCTGTGTGGCTGCCTTGGGGGTCCCGAGAGAGCAGTGAGAGATTAAGAAAGACATAGACACAAAGACATAAAGAAAAGCTGGGGCCGGGTGGGACACTTTCTTCTGATGGAGGAGAAGTGACCCTGAACTAGCTCAGCATGTTTATTTTATAATCAAGCACAAAGGAAGTTGGGAGGGATTCAAGGTCTATGAGGGAGCTATAATAGAATTTTGTTGCTACCTAAATGGCAAGCTGTTTGTGATTATCTTCTTGTTGCCAAGGCTTTATCTGTACTATTTGCACCCAGACGTGTGGGTTCTGAGATGCCATTCCACGTAGCAGGCTGCATCCCTTGCTCTTTGGCTAGAGTGCAGAACAACCAAGCAGGACCTTGCCTTCGCTTGGGGCCTTGCCTTTGCTCGAGGTCTGCTGTTCGGACAGCACTCATCTACTCCTCACAGAAAATATTTAAAGAAATATATTTAACTCTCTAAACTATGGCTACCAAACAGAATAATTGTTGTAACTGTTAA